AATTATTTTACAGTATCTGACATTACTGACCGTTTGTATAAGCTACGGGATTGTGTTACTGTTGTAGTTGGCTCCTCCTCTGAATTTCTTTTAACTTGATCGTCATGTTTGTATTACTGCCACAAAGTAGTCCTGATCTATAAAACTGCTGCCCAAGTTTAGGAACATAGTTGGTGCTGGACACCAGGCCATGTTTATTAAAGCAAGGGCATTTTCCCTACAGATGCAATTGTTCTGGGAGCGTTCACCTTGTTTGTGGGGAATAAATGTTCTATAAAGAGCATTAGTGATGCGGATGGTTGGGCACCTTCTGCGCAGCTCTACACTCAGCCCTACCTTTAGCAATCACACTTGCTTTCCAGCACGATGGCAGGCTCCATTCATCTCTGTGGAGGGACATAGGACTGACTCTACCAGGCACATGCCATTCGCTTGCATTTTGTGACCACCAATGTCTATTCTGCTCTTACAGTACAAACTCTTATAGGGGGGTATATCAGCGTGTCCAATTGTAAAGCATATTTTGCTCCCTTAATGTATCCAGGTAAATGCAGCGAGTCTGCAAATATAATGGAAATTGTTTCAGTACCTCCCATACTTTTCCATGGAGGCACCAGGAGAACCTTTTTCCTTCTACTCCATCTCTTTGAGACTCGTTATCAAGAGTTTTAATTTGATCCCAAAGCATGACTCCTGCCAGTACCTGATGACACTCCGCTGGTGTTTTGTTATATGGAAATGACTCGGTGCCAAATGGAACTATTAACATTGAACCGTCCAGGTAAACAAGCTCGGGAGATAGGGTTAAGTCTCCCCCAGAATTTGTTTTGGACCTTTAAATATATGTGCAGTATGCTAAGATATTGAATGTTGGGTGCTTTTGTTCTGAGACACCTTCACAGGTAGACTATTGGCACAACTGAGTCTTTGTTAAGCTTTGGTGTTCAGTGGCAAGAGAAGGTTGTAGTTGGATTACAGAACCCAGTAATGGATTTCCCCGGGGCTGACAAATCCCAGGAGCCAGGTCACCAATGATCCTTAAAAATGACAGCTGGTGCCCAACTTTGGCAGTTTTCTCTAGCTGTTGTCAATGGAGGTGGCCCCTAAAAAAAAAAAAGAGATTGGACAGACTGGCACCTGAAGTCCACCCATTTGCCATATGTATCCAGAACAAACCCGTACTTCCCTCCCACAATGGTCTACTGGTTGAATGTCTATTATACTCCAGTTGTGTGTCCCTGGCAATTTTAGGACTGCTATACCGGAGTGACGTACCGGGAGCAGCTCAGCTTGCCGTCTTGTGTGCACTAAGGGCCTGTTCACATGATATCAGGTGCGGACCTGCAGATGCGGTGCTACTGATGCAGTGCGTTTTAGTTAAAAAGAATGCGTTCCAGTTAAAAATATTTTTTTTTTTTGCTGGAGTGGGGCTGTTGGTATGTTAGCTGCAGTGCGTTTTTGACGTGTTTTTGATGCGTTTTGCGTTTCCGGTCCATTTCCTGACCGTACAAAATGTGACATGCAGTATGTTTTCTCTTGTAACCTGAACGGACTGCGCACGTGAGAACTGTAGCCCATAAAACACATAGGGATACATTGGGATGCATTTTTAGTGCAGGAGCGTACGGATCAGATCAGCACAGAAAACGGACGTCGTGTGAACAGGCCCTCAGCCTGTATTGTTTTCATGTCCTCCGCCTGTGCGGTGTGCAGGACCTAAGGGACATGCTGCCGCATTGAAGATCCACAGCGCCACGTCCATCGTCTGCGTGTCATCTCTATAAAGATTTGCAGGCTAGCTAGTTAGCGGGCTGGGAAATGTTCATCGTTCTAAAGGGTGCACCGATTCGGTTGCCGAGGTATGCGTCACCAAAGCTGCATAAGAATACCCTTTTCTATGGTATCTTAGACGTCAGCACTTCTTCGTTTCCGGACCCTGGGTTTCAGCGTGTCTTGGTTACTGAGTCCCAAATACCAAGAGTCCTAGAATCCATTCCCTTACCGGACTCGGTCTTGGCATCCAAGTGACATTTGGTCATTATTTTTGCAGGAAGTCTTTTTAAAACGTATTGGCGGGGACACAAGGAAACCACAATGCAGTCTACAGTTCCAGCCAAACTTTATTTGAAGAACTTCTGCCCCTTCGGGGTAGAATAGGGAGAGTTTGCATCTCTGTTAGGTTTTTATTATTATACGTGCCGGTTTGAGTACCTCTCCCTATTGTCAAGCAAAACAAATGGCAAGCGCACTCATCAATTTGTTACCAGCTTTACAGCAAGGTGCACATGGAAGGGCCTAATACAGTACAACAGCAAAAGGTTTCCCAGCACACTCGCCAGCCAGCATGCAAAAACGACTTGTCTCACCGCTAAGGTTAAAAACAGAGGTTTAGATGCACGTCTTCTGCAGAAAATGTGAAAGCCGCACAGCCGCGCCAAGGCACCTCCTATAAAGTGCGGTCCTAACTCTAAACTATGAGAGTCTCCATCTTGGAGCACATGTGGCAAAAGATCACATTTGGTGCAGGTTTGTCAGGAGGAGGCCCAACCTCCCTATTGTGTCACTAGGGCAGGAAGCAAAGGAAATCTCGCCAGTGGGGACACAGCACTAAAAACACAGATGTTCTTACCCTTTGTATCTAAAACTATGACTGCTATTTTGGTTTAAGACGTCCTTGAAACCAGCTCCTATCCCTTTTGAACATGTAGAGTTTACTTCTACGCCTGGATCCATCTCTTATGTATTTTTATAGCGCTTGTCTATGAGAAAACAGCAGGAAGTTTCTGTATTTTTTTTTTTTCCCCCTCATGTCTATTTCCAGTCTCTATGGAAACTGTCGTGTGGTTTCTGCTCTTCTGTGAAATGGATAAAGCGACTTGTGATAGCTAGTGACTGTGAAAAGGTAAAAGTCCTTGAACACTCATAAATGAAGGCACTTCAGGGCTGGCATTATCAGTGGAGGTTTGACTAATTCGCCTTCTCTGTACACACGCCAGCCCCGGGCCTCGTGCCGGAGCTTTCAAAGGTGGCTCTGTGCTCCCCGCTATTGATTTAGAGATTTGTGTAGGTCGTGACTGGATGGATGTCACATTGTAGGTCCTGGATTGCATCTCCTGTCGTAAGGGGACCCAGCGAAAGTGATCTCTTTATTTATTGCCTGACTCAATGACGCCATTAGGTATTCTTCAATCTGGCAAAGTAAGTTGTTTTTCCCATGTTGCTGCCGCAGTTTTTTTTTGTTTTTTTGTTTTTTTCTCTCAACATATTTTTATTTGATATTCCTTGTAATGATTTGCTATAGCTATTGCTGGTGGGTGGAGCTTAGAATTCACATGCAGCAATCATGCAACCAGTGCTCCCGAGAGGTATATTAAAACCCAGTTGGTGATTCAAACAACGAGCATCTACTACTGAAAATGTATGTTGTTTTTGGTGAAATGACCCTTTAAAAGCATACAATAATCACCAATCTGATGTCTTCCTAAAAGTACATGGAAACCCTAACTGTGTTATGTATTTTTATAGCGCCAACAATTTACGCAGCGCTGTACAGAGTGCACATTCACATCAGTCTCTGCCCTCAGGGCCAGTTCACACCATATGCAGTTGTGATGCAGTCCGTTTATTTTGACAATGCTTTCCTATGGGCTTTCTTGTGCTTAATTTACACCATTGCAGTCCGTTCAGATGCAGTCAGAAAAAGTACTGCTTGTCCTATTTTACCTGCATCTAACTGCATCGAAACGCATCAAAATGCAGTGCAAACGCAACGGAACGCATACAAAACAGACTCAGAATTGATTGTCATCACCCAGGGACTTCCTCTTTGTAGTGTGGAGAGAAAGTGAAGAGATGGAATTTGTGGATGCGGATGATTTCATCCGATATGTGCGGGACTGTCCCCTGCTGTACGACGGCAAACATCCCCAATATAAGAATAATCGCCAGAAGATGGCAAAGTGCAGGGAGATTGGTGAAAAAGTTGCACCCAGATTTTGGGGCTATGAACCGGGTACAGAAAAAGCAATGCGTTAACAAACATTGGTAACAAACAAACCTAGGAAATGCTCTGACAGGAAGAGGAAGTGACCTAATTGTCTAATTTGCATTTTCTAGTGCAGAACAAATGTATCAGAAATGCATCAAAACAGATCGCAGTGCAACTGCACAGACGCACGCAGTTGTGATGCAGTTTCTGGTGTGAACTGGGCCTCAGGGATCTGGTCCGGAAAATAGTGCGACACTGTAGTTCCAGTGCATTCCAGACCAGACAAAATGAGACACGCAGTATTTTTCTGGTCTGGAACGGACTGCGCTGGTGGGAACAGAGGCCAGAAATGGCATAGGGAGACATTGGGATGCATTTTGGGTCCGGAAACAATCTGGTCTGGTCTGGAGATGATCTGGATGTGGTGTGAATGGACCCTCAAGGAGCTTACAATCTAAGGTTCCTATTGTACATGTGTACAGGGCCACTTTACACAGGAGCCAATTAACCTTGCAGCATGGGAGGAAATGCACAGGGGCAACATGCAGATTTCTTGCATATAGTGTCCTGACCGGGATTTGAACCGGGGATCCCCAGTGCTGCAAGGCAGAAGTGCTAACCACATTGCATGATAATTGGTTTTCTAAAGCAAGGTGTATCGTGAACAACTGCCATTTATTTTTCATTAGAAAAGGACCGCCTATTCCTGGACAGGAAGATAGGAAGGAAATGACCCTGCATGTTACATGACCTGCCAGAAGATACAAAATATACATTTGGTGGGGGTGTCTCTATGGTGGGTTTTGGTCTGGTGTAGACTGAAATTGGGCTTTTAAAAATAAAAAATGGCAACTTGCAGTTCCTGCAGTTGTGTTCAGCATGACTTGAGCAGACATTTCCTTTTATACATCTCGGATGCTCTTGCTTGTTAGTTTAATAGTGATGTGGCTGCCCAAATAATGATTTTGAAGGATTGAATTTGTTAGTTATTTATTTTTATTTTTTGTTACAGCAAACATGATGAACTCCGATGCCCTGGTGGACCTAACTGATGATTTGGAAAGAGATGAAACCACACATTCCCTGGAGCAACTGAAACTGGCATCCGTAGATGACCGAAACTGGCCCTCTGATGATGTTCAGGACTTCCCCAAGCCGGGTACGAATGCTTTGTGCTTGCTCCAGGTCTATGAATGAATAAAATAGAAAAGCCAGAGACAGTCAGGCAACTAAAGTTTTCAGAAGGAGGCTTGTAATGGAAGTCTCTGTAATTCTGACAGGTTTCATTTCAGATACCCGTTCTGCTTGGCTGTGCAGCGGTGGTGAGCGGGGTCGTGCAGTGCCAGGGGCACCTTCTAAGCCCTTGGCCCACTCCCCCTCACCTAGCTACCTCTATTCTCTATTTTCCCTTCGCCCTCTATGGGCCAGCCCGAAGAATGTGCAGTAGAGACGCCATTTTCCCAGAGACCATGATAGAAGTGACTATCACACATCTGCGGTAACGGTGCCATTTTGTGGGAGACCAAATCACCACAACCATCCCAATCGCTCCCTATACAGGAAGTGTTGGCAGATCACTTTACTGCAAACTTCCCATGGACATGTGCTGTTGAAAGCACTCCGTGCTGCCATCATGATGGAAATTTTCCACAGCGCCTGTCTGCTGTGTACTTGTGGCTCTCGGCATCTGTAGGGTGGCTGAGTGCTATAAGACCCATTGTGATCTCTACTATTGCCCAGAAGGTGATGGGAAGGATGGAAATCTTTGTTCCTCTCACTTCCTGGGTTTCTCTTTTACAATAGCTATAGCATGTGGTGGCTGGCTTTACTGACAATGCTAGTTGTTTGGCTGTTATGTTGACCCAATGTCTTCAGTATTTTGAGTCCCTGATCTGAAACAAGTATGCTGATTAGGAAAGTCAGAAAATCCATATCTACATGCTTGTTCGTGGTCAGTGACTCAAAATATGGAAGAGGGTATGACAACAGCCAGGCAACTAGCATCTGAAGAACGAGAAGATTGCAATAACAGAAGTCAGGACTACACACGCCCCCCTTACCCCATAATCCCCCCATAGAGACAACCCCTCCATCCCGATCCTGGCTTTACTGACCATACAGGGAGCGAATTTTATCCAGTTCCTGAAGAATAAGCCTAAATTTGGGCCATGTGTGGCCCTATCAGCATGGCTGTTTAGCGTGGATGGAGGAATCTGATATAGTTCATTCAGCCCACAGGAACGAAAACAATCTATTATATGGCCAGCCTTAGTCACAGGCCTCATGCAAGTGGGAAGTTTGTATTTTGCTCTGGCTGCTTGCTTGGAACAAGTCAGTATCTTGCTGAATAGCGAAGCAAAGAGTCTGTACTAATATATCAATTCAGCCATGGCAGTTCTTGTCCTCACAGGTTCCATATAACCTACTGCCTGTAAGAATTCACACTGAGTCAGCATGTGGCACTTTGAGGCTGGGTCTTCAGTAAATACATACACTTTTCCTGATCTTCTGGTTTTTCAGGGTTGCACAGGAAGTAACATGTTTTACATCGTATAATGAGGTGGTTCCTGCGGGAATCATAATCTAGTGGCTGCCTATGAAGAATCCGATGTTTGACTACAAATAGGTTCTCAGAGATCAACTTCTTCAGTATTTTCTGGATTTATAATGTACGTATTCTGGTACATTACATACAGCAACAAAACGCTACACCCAGCACAACTTTGAATAAGCACTTGGATAATGGAAGAATCTCCTTCCATTTACTTTTTCAACCTTGGTGGGAGGTAATGAAGGCAATCCTAACGGCTGAGGAAAGCAATGCAGCTATTCCCTCATAGGAAGTCTCTATAGGAAATCGTTTTTTTCATTCTTTGCTAAGAACCAAGCTTGTAAAAGTGTGGTTCTATCCAGGGCCGGCCTTAGGGGTGTGCGAGCTGTGCGGCCGCACAGGGCGACATGGCAACAGAGGCGCCAGACGGCCGACACAGCTCGTCCTGGGGGCTGCTTCTCTCCTCCTCACCGCTGGCCATCGCCTGTTCATTAAAAATTTGCTCAATGGGGAGAAGCACTCACTACAGAGGCTCCTCCCCATTCAGAACCTGCTGAAGGGAAATTTCAGGGGTCTGTTTGGACCCCTAATATTTCCCCGAAGCCCCCCAACAGTAAAAAAAAATTAAAAAATTTAAAAAAATAATTATTTTAAAAAAGTGAAAACTGCCCCCCCCATATATATTATTAGACATGTGCGAAGACTACAAATTCATTTCAGATGAAATGAACGAAAACTAAAAAACGTTTACATTCGTTTCATCAAACAAAACACATTTATATGCTATTTTGGATTCAGCCATTGACGTGTTCTGGAGGCAGGGCGCATGACGTTGTATAACACCGCACGTGTTGGGCGCCCCCATCTTGGTGTATATCTAGGTATACACCAAGATGGGGGGCCAATATCGGTGTGTGACGTCACCTGACGCAACACATGCATGGCGTCATGCTCCCCTCCTCCAAGATGGTGGTACGCATTCACAGAACACGCCGGTGGCCAACATGGCCACCGCACATTCTCAAACAAATTATTATGTGCCTGAATACATTTTTCGTATATTCGGACATATAGCAATTCATTAGTTTTACACGTAGTCTAGGTTTTATGTTCTGTTTTCTATTTTTACTTTTCTAGTTACACTTACTTGAAAAAAGGGATCGGCATGACAACCTGACACTTTATTTTTATAGACTCTCTTTTAGTTTGACATTTTTATTGTTTGCCTTCTGTGGTTTTATTTGATAAGAATACCTATATTGTGCCTACAAGTTTAATACCTTTTGAATAAAAGTTTTATTTTTATCATACTTTTTAATGTTCCTTTTGCGGCTTAACAAAATAGGAGTCTTTAAATGGTGCGGATATTGGGTGAAATGGGTGTGGTTACTGGGGGTGTGGCCACTGAAGGGTGTTGTCACTGAGGGGCGCTGTAAAGCTTTCTCGCACAGGGCACCTAAAGGCCTAAGGCCGGCCCTGGTTCTATCCCCAACCGAATCCTTCTCCTCCTCTGCTTTTATCAGCAGAGGAGGAGAAGGCAGAACAGCTAAAAGGCAGAATAAAGGGCAGGATTGGGAGGAGCCACATTGACATGGTATGCCCCTTATGCAAATGTGGGAGCAGAGCGACATATTAAGGTGAGCTGTGCTGCATGTGGAGCTCAAGCCAAGAGGTCATAGACAGTTCTTGCAATTTTAGAGTGGTTGTAAAACAAAGAAGAGAACTTTAGTTCTTAATTTTCAAACTGCCCCCACCCAGCTTACCTGAATTGCTGGGTGCTTCTCCCTGATGTCTTCTGTCTGTGTTTTAAATTTGGTGCTCCATCCACACAGCGCGCGCCATCCATTCAAAGGGATCTGTGAACGGAAAGACAACAGGTCCTATCTACCACCGTGGCAGAGGGAATCGCAACTCTCAATGTAAAAAAGTTCAGTGAAATTGCCACACGTGTGGTCCTTCTTTTAGCCTCAAAACGGTAGGCCTGTACCTCCCCACAGACCTGGGGCTGGGATGTAAACATTCAGGAGCAGCACCTGTTATGTACTGATTACGTGTGCAATGCCCTGGAAGCAAAATATTAATGCACACAGGGCAGCCGTCAGAAATTTTGGGGCCCCTTACACGGCTTTAGGCCGGGCCCCCCGGCCCCCCCCCCGCCGCTGGACACAGGCTTAGTGACGCGCTGGACGCAGGGCTTAGCGACGCGCTGGACACAGGACCCACAATGCACATTTCTTTTCTTTTTTTCCATATGAGTGAATTTCTTTTTTATTTCTAAATCGTTGGATGAATAGTCGGATAATCCTTGCTTTTTGTCTTTATGCAGCTGGTGACTCCAAGCTTTCCCCTGATCCCATCATCCACCTTCGCTGGGATGATCCTTATTATGACATTGCCAGACATCAAATTGTGGAAGTGGCAGGTAAGAGTCTCTTTACTTGGTGTTTAATTTGACCTTCTCTAGTCATTGGATGTGCTCTGTAATCACTGTGAATATAAGTCTTGCTTTGGTGGATTGCTCTTGACATTCATTATCAGTTGTGACAAGTAGTGCATGTGGAAAAATGGTCAGGTTGCCTGCAGCAGCCATCATCTCTAACATAGAATAAAGAAATGCAGGTGAAATCTGACTTTTTGCTAAGTGAACAGAGTTCACTTATTTTCGAAAAATAGTTCTTTGTACATAGGTCTCTGTATACTTTCAGAGTATGCCCGTCATTAAAGAAGGGCATATGTACACAATGGGAGGCACACAGAGACTACACTTTGCTATGTGGGAATGTAGATGGCTGCTTCCTTATAACTGCCTAAACTTGTATACTGACTCTAAATGTGTAGGCAGATGAAGGGGTAGAAACTCTCAGGCTTTAGGTGAACTTTGACCCTTATGCCAAAGAATAGGAACAGAACTTTTCCCAAAAAGGCTGACAGAGGGCAAGGGGCCAGTCACCAGTATTTCCTGTGGTCTTCCTGCAGTTGATCCTCCCCTTCCCTAGCCTACTGATTTAACATGCCTTGTTCCGCATTATGTCTCTGTATAGAGACTGCCATCTTGATAGAGGCAGGGTTTTGCTTCACTATGTTGGAGCCTCCAGCAAGGAGGCTGGTGAGCAGCTCAGTAGCGGCACCACCAACTCTCATTCCAAATCTCCTGAGACTAGCAGTCAGGGGCAGCAGTGCCTTAGATCAGTGGTTCTCAACCTGTGTAACCTCAGGACCCATATTTGTCCTCTGTCATTAAATCGCGACCTAAGTCGCACTGCAATGGAACGCCCGGCAGTGTGGGATGCTGTGCTGTGATGGAGCTCCATCCATATATGCATTGCTTGTACAGCTCCCATGCCCGCCTGTAGAGGTGCTGGGAGCCAGAATGTGATGTCACTACGGTCCAGGCACCTCTACAGGAAATGCAAGGGAGCTATAAGCACGTATGGATGGATAGAGCTCCCTCGTGGCCATACCCACAACACCTCAAGTCGACACTCTGCGCTGGGCAGCATATTTTGAATGACTGCTTGGTGTGAGAATGGTCAGTGCTGCGCTAGGGGGAGGCTGAGGAGCCTCACACCTAGAAAAGTGGAAGGCATGCGGCGACCCACTAAACCAAGGGTTGCAACCCGCTTTTGGGTCACGACCCACCAGTTGAGAACCAAGGCCTTATATGATCTTACACTGTAGATATACAGCCGTGATGCTGTAGATACATAAGTGCTTAGGCCCCTTGTACACAGTGCACTCCCTGCTATTTTTTCAGGAGGAATTCCAGTTAAAAGGAACGTTTACAGGGTACTACATGGGTACAGTTAACCATTAAATGTTCCCTATAGCATTGCAAGTCTTTACTGTTTGCGTTCAAGTCTGACCAGTTGTAATGATGGAAGCCTGAATATTCAGATTCTTACATGGACTCATCCTTGACTGTATACTTGTACATTATGGCAGACTTAACTGTCAGTATACTCTCCTCCAGCGATGCAAGGTCCATGCTCCCCCTTGGCGCTGCTTCCATCTTCTCCCTGTTCTCTCTCTCCGTGTGTCTTCAGCCATTGGGTTGGCACTGATGGCATAACTCTGCATGCATGTGAAACATGCATTGTCTCGGCTCCCATCACTTACTCCTGGGATTGTACACTGTACTGCCCGTGCACAATAGTTGGTGTACAGTTATTAAAGGAGAACTATGGGGTTAGGGCTTTTCCCCATAGTTCTCCTAAGGGTAATGGGAGGACCCAAACTAGCGTCCTCCCATCACCAAAAGCTCAGTATACCGAGAGCTACAGCTCGCGGTATACTGAGACGCCGCAGCCGGGACGGATCCTGGCGATTCTTTCTGGATCCACCCAGCTGCCCTGAGTGACAGTCACGGCTCTCTGCAGGGATAGATCGAGAGGTGAGCGAACGCCGGTATGTGTTCGCTCACTTCCCGATCTACTGAGCCGACCTATGACAGTTTCATTGTCACAGGTCGGCTCAGATTATGAGGCTGAGTGAAAATCACTCGCTTCATAATTCGCTTTTTAAAAACGATAGCAGGAAGGGAAAGAGGTTTTACCATTTTTTTATTTTTTATTTTATTTTTTATTTTTTTATTATTCATTTTAGTTCCACTTTAAGTAAATCTTATTATTCAGCTGTTTACACTTCTTTTAATACTTTTCATTCTACCTGTAAAAAAAATAAAGTTCTTTAATTTCCAAAGTGTTGCAATTCAGAATTCTTGCATGAGTCAGTGTTTACGTTGAGCAGTTTGATTTAATTCTATCCACTTAAGCATCTGAAGCACTTGCTAAGAATGTCCACCAAGAGCCAATTATTTTCAAGCCTATGTGCACAGATCCGTGCGTGAGAAGCGTCTGACAGCAGCTGCAGCCCTCATAAAGAGACTGTGTATATTCTGGTTTTAGGTTCATGGGTGTGCTGCCACTTGCAGTTTTGCATGGAGAGCATTCGTGATTCTGCTTGCTCACTCTCTGCGTGGAAAGTAAACAAAGGATTCTAGGTGTTCAGTAAACAGGAATTACACGGCAGGAACTGACATGTCAGTTAAGAATACCATTGGAATTCCTTACTGCCAGCAGACCATCAGATAGACCAATGCTGAGCTCACCGGGTTTTAGATTTTGCCTGGTGAACAAGATAAGACATTTTATAAATACTTTGCATAGCATTTTATGTTTTCTCTGCTTCAGACTTGGGTTTGAGGTCTCCAAAGACTGCTTCCTGTCATAACTTATAAGCTGGACTGCAACAAGAATCCCGTAACTCTCCTGCTACTCTCTGGGCTGCCTCTCCCTTCCCCCATCTTAACTATTTGCATAAAAACATAAAATAAGAGAACCTATCTAAGTGCCCCTTTGCTGTAATAAATCTGTCATGATATTGCCGTCCAGTTTTCCTTCTTGGGATGTCCACATCTCCATGCAGGTGGTGACATGGACTCTTCCTACTGGCTGCTAAGCAGTGGGATCCTCTCAGGATCCAGAGGACGAACATGACAACATCAGCGTAAGGGGAGTGCCTTATGCAGGCACTTCTGCAGCTCAGGCTTCTATGAGTATAGATTTCCTCCAAAGATGGGGGGGGAGGGGGTTAGGAGGGGGTTTAAATGCTGCCTGGAGGTGGGTTTGAAATACCAGCTCAAGGTAGCAAGCAAAATCAGCTAATGCCATCCAGGAATTGAAACTGAACAATTATTATTCTTGTATAATCCTAAATGTGAAAAACAGCCATACACCGTGAACTCCCAGCATCGTCCATAACTTCCCCCTTACCTCCTTGTTTTGGGGCAGCTCTAAAAGTTTTGGATTTCCGCTCACTTACTTGGTGACAATAGTCACTACTAGTACATACACCGATCAGTTCTAACACTGTGACCACTTTCCTAATACTGACTAGGTACCCTTTTGCCACCAAAACAGCCCTGACCCATCGAGGCATGAACTCCACTAGAACTCTGAAGGAATGCTGTGGTATCTGGCACCAAGCCGTCAGTAGCAGAGCCTTTAAGATGTGAGGTGGGGCCTCCGTGGATCGGACTTGTTTTTCCAGCACATCCCACAGATGCTTGATTTGGATTGAGAGCTGTAGAATTTGGTGGCCAAAGCAACACCTCAAACTCGTTGTTGTGTTCCTCAAACTATTCTTCAACCATTTTTGCAGTGTGTCAGGGCGCATTATCCTGCTGAAAGAGGCCACTGCCATCAGGGAATACCGTTTCCATGAAGGGCTGTACTTCATGGAACAATGTTTAGGTCGGTGGTACGTGTCAAAGTAACATCCACATGAATGGCAAAACCCAAGGTTTCCCAGCAGAACATTGCCCAAAGCATCACACTGCCTCAGTCGGCTTGCCTTCTCCCCATAGTGCATCCTTGTGCCATCTCCTCCTCAGGTAAGCAACACACACACACAATGTGTGTGATTTGCCAGGCCACCTTCTTCCATTGCTCCGTGGTCCCAGTTCTGATGTGCCCATTGTAGGTGCTTTTGGCGGTGGACACAGTTCAGCATGAGCACCCTGATCGGCCTGCAGAAACGCAGTTTCATATGAACCAAACTGTGTGTTCAAAGGTAAGGTATCCCATTGGACTCCAGACCGGTATCCCAGTTCAAGACACTCCAGTGGGTGCTGTAGAGTGACCTGCGGATGGTGCCACGTAGACCAGATGTAGAAGAGATCGTCACCAGCACAGCAATATCCACTTTATCACTCCGTCTTTATTTGAGAATGCAATGTTATGGAACTGCATATGGTTCCTTTTTTTTATCCACCAGTTATTGTGCTCTGCCCCACAAACCACTGAAGCACCCTTCCTGCATTTCTGGTTTGCGGCTTGAGCACACGTATCGCCATGGGCATGTGCACTGCCGGCCTTAGATTAGATATCCTATGATGGCTTGCAATGGTGTTCTGCAATACACATGCCTTCGTTGTTTTTATTAGCTTTGCTGGTACAGCCTACAAATGACAGCAGAGAAGAACCATTATAAGCAGAATATCTATGATAGTATGATAACAGGACTAAGCCAGCCACCAACAGCTTTGCAAAGTACTGGAGGCTCTTGTCAGTCAGCTAAGCTGCAGGTGAGGCTGCCTGAAAATCAGCTTGCTGATGTGCTTTTTAGTATTTTTATGTGCCAGCGCTTGGCAGGTATTATAGTAGTCCCATGAGAAAATGCTCCGAGGAGGGTGGCTATACTAAGCCTACAGGGAGACCATGTAGTGGTAGTGTAGTTACCCTCATACATTAAGTGCAATAGCAAGATTTATTGCATAACTTATTCAAATGCATATAGAAACTTGCATATACACTCACCGTCTACTTTTATTAGGTACACCTTGCTAGTATCAGGATGGACCCCGTTTTGCCTTCAGAACTGCCTTCATTCTTCGTGGCATAGATTCAACAAGGTGTTGGAAAC